CTCCATAACCAAGACAGAAAAAAACACGAAACGAAAATTCCAGTCGTATTAAAAACATAACAGCTCGCTCACCACTTTCTATGAGGATTCCACTGGGTGTTTCACGTTGACACCGACCGCATAGAGTTCACAAGGAAGAGTGATGTACCTGTTTCACATTATAACATCGGTCTTGAACACTGTGTATGATCACGAATGATAACGAGTTATTTCTCCTTGCAGTTGATTTTCGGATTTTTAGAATTCATCCAGAATGCGTGAGAGTTTGTGCGTTGAAGTTTTCGATTACTCTACGTGAATGGTAGCTTCCGCTTCAAAGTCTTCTCAATATGTCTCTGTGTCCAATTCGTGCCTAGTGGAGTATTTGGTTTAACTTAAAGGTTACCGACTACGTGTTCCTATATACGGACGCAGAGTGGCCTGTTCGTTTCAATAATGTATTCTCCTAACGCTCCTAACGCTGTACAAGAGATCAGAATAAGCTGTATTCAAACTCATTCAGCGTCTCTACGGTTAGGACATATTATGCAATTATGCGTTCTGCGTAAGCGCTCATACAGGCTGTTACGAACCACCTGTTGTCCTAGAGTGCTTGTTAGTATACCAATTACTGTTATCTAACTGTCTAGACCGGCGCTTCTCAAACGGCGTTTTACAATTGCACTTATTTCGTTGGAAATGAAGGGCAAGACAAATGCGACCCCGTTCTCCGTAGAATTGTAGTTTAAGGGCGTGGTTTCTGCTCTACAACTATTCATAGGAGCTACAATCTGCAGCCATTCGAAGTGGCTATTTGTCGCGCCAAATTCCGAGTTTCCTCCAGCTGCTCTCTTCCTGTCCTGAGATAAAGAAAAACAATCTTGAGGAAGCTGTCCTTTATCACCCATCATCTGAAAAAGAGTTCAAAAATCAATACCGAAAATTGAACAGCGAATGGATCAAAGTAATAAAAGCGGCAGGTTTACAAGAATCAGTTATTTCCCAATCAAAGCTTGAATAGCCAATGTGCTCCGTCTTATACTTACTTATCAAAGCTCATAACTTTATATCCATTGAGGATCTGGCGCCTAACGGCCCTCATCCTTCAGAGTTAGACCAATCATCAGTTGAGCAGACGCCCCACTAAGAGAATAGCTTGGTTTAATAAACCTAACTTTCATTTGCTAAAATACACACAGGCCTATCCACGATTATCCAAATGTCCTTGGAACGCTTTCGTAAGAGTCCCATGACTTTACTGCCCTTTATGCGAACGTGAAGTATGACTGCGCTTTGCAAGCCATCCACGTGCTTCCTATGCAAGACGTGGAAGGAACAAACATGTATGGCTTCTTGACTCAGCAGCTCATGGCCCACTTGAAAGAGTACCTGAACTGTTCAATTCTTAAGCGGTCCAGAATGTGTATTGCACAAATGAGAGGGTTGGCAATAAGACAGCGACTGGCACCGAGCGTTTTCGTTGCATTTATGTCTAAGGTTGAAGCAGGAGTAACCGATCTGCAGTCATTATTGTTCTGTAATACAAAGATGATATTATGTTATTTTATTATCATTACATTTTATTATTATATCATTTTATCATTTTGTCATATTATCATTAGCAGATATTTGATCATCTGCTGCACACTTGAGGGGATGTGCAAATGTTTTGAGCTATTGAACCAACAGTTAAAGTACATAAAATTCATCCGAGAGAAACCGAAAGAAAATTTGGCTCTCATTTTTGAACGTTCAAATTATCCTATCCGGAAGCGGCCATGTCATGAAGTGGTGCTGAAAACCAAGTAGGAAAAAAACATACTGGTTCATTACCTCTCTTTTCACTCTTCCCACACAAAAATGGCTCTTACAGAAAACTTGTTCCGAATATCCGTCAGCGTGTGCACAAAAAGGGAGCAGGAGGAGTCGCGGAAATTGGCGCCACAAATAACCACTCCGAATGGCTGCAAACTGGATCCTAAGAATAGTTGTAGAGCAAAGACCACGCCGCTGAACGAAAATTCTGGGGTAATAAAATCCCGTTTATTCTGCCCTTCATTTCTAACGAAAGCTATAGGAGGAGCTGCTATAAACCGTTGCTCGAGAACAGTTGGTCTATAGAGTGAAGTAACAGTTATTGAAATACCACGAAGCACTCACGACAGATGGTTCGTAAGGGCCTGTATAATCGTCTACTCAGAACGCAAAATTGCATAATATGCTCAAACGGTAGAGACAGTGATTGCATGAGTTCGGGTAAAGTTTATCTGATCACTTGTAAAGCGTGTAGGAACGAATACATTATTGAAACGAACAGAGCACTCTGAATCCGGATAAAAGAACTTGTCGGTAAGCTTAAAGTTAAATGAAATACTCCACTACATGCGTAGGAAACAAAGACATAGCGGAAAAACTTTGAAGAGAGTTACCATACTCGTAAAGGAATCGGGAACTGCAGCGTGCAAAGCTCTCAAGCATTCTGGATAAATTCCAAAAACCTGAAAATCAATCACGGTGAGGAATGCCTTGTTATCGTTCGTTATCTCACACGTACTGATATTATAATGTCAGAGAAGGACATTACTGCTCCATGTGAACTCTGTGTGGTCGGCCCCCGCGTAAAATGCGCAGTGGCTTATAAAATGCTTATAGAAAGTGGTGAGAGCGCGAAAAAGCTGTTTTATTTTTAATACGATTGAAATCTTCGTTTCGTGCTTTTCCAGTCTTGTTTATGGAGGTGCTTGGTGGGGTAGATTTCAGTCAACTTGATCTTTCCAGGCTCCGAAGAAAGCGAAATTCGTCGAAATGTCAGCTGTTGTAAACAAATAGCATTAATAACAGACTCGTTTGTGCTAATCAAGAGGATATTCACCAATGCCGATGTTTATAGGAAGTCGTTCTTGGGATGAAATGACTGTGTTTCTTTGTAAGTCAAATATATGAAGGAGATCTCATAGAGTAGGTAAAAAAGTGAAATTTGAATCGAATTGGTTGCAGTTACAAAACGATTTCAAAACGCGTTTATCCATCAATATTAGCAAATCTGATGTCTTACTTCATGGAGATCAGCGATCGAAGTGCCTCTATTATCCCTTTCCATGACGTACTTACCACTCCACTTAAACGTGCATAACCAAGTCCATAACCCATTCAACGGTTAAAATTAACCGAATTCACTGAATCACTGAAGTAATGATGGCTAATAGACTCAAAGAAACCGCATGAAGCCCAAACGCTAACTTACTTACTTGGATACTTGGACGGCCCGTCCCCATCGGTTACGCAGGCCTCAAGCATGTTTTCCATTTTTCGGAGCTTAGCTAGTTTAGCCACTGTTTCCTTGGAGTCCCGAGGTCAACATGGCGAAAGTCTACCCCAGGTCATCGCCACCACAGGCAGTCACCGCCCTCGTGGATCAGAGGGAGATTTGCCACCATGCGACTTTGATACCAGAACGGTGGTGGATCCTGGTATTGGTTTACTCTTAGCTAGGTTTCCTAATGGAAACGCTGGACTCCTTTTCAGCTTGGGAGACCCTGTCGGGAGGCCGAATCTCCCCGGTGTACATCGAAGTGCGACACTCAGGAGCACCTCCCGGCCACGATGAGACGGTAAGTCCAAATACAAGAGCGAGAAAAAAAGTATGGCCTCTAGTTTCTTGAAATAGCAGACAGATTTTCCTAAGTGAAATCCGTCTCCTTTAGATAGATTAGTGATGTTTCCAAAAGGGCGTTGACTAAGGAGGGTTGCTCTATCTACCAACTAGGCCACACGTATTCCGCAGCTTTGGGTCCTAACGCTGTTCACAGGCACACACAGGTGCAGATACAGATACACAGATATATATATACACACACACACATACACACATAGAAATTAACAAACAAAAGTGAGGATTTAAATATGCTAGCTTTATCACAATTTTCAGGCTAACGTAACCAAACACAAGTGTGTCAAAATGATACAGAGCGAATAAAATTAGAAAATACTTAAATTTATTCATTAAATGGCGGAGCACAATGAACATAGGCCTCTGCTGAACTCAGTGCAGCAAAGCTTCTAATGAAGGAGATTCATGGCAATACAAGTATTTTACAAATGCCTTTACATAGGAGAAAAAGGTTTGACCAGATCTATACGAATATTGCACAGTTGAAAAAGCAAACTAGCACTAATAGGCGGCTATGGGCTGAAAGATGCTGTGGCATATGCTGTTAGCAGAGAGACAGAGAGATAGAAAACAATTTCGCAAGCAATATTGATCGACAAAGGAAAAAAGTGAAATTATTTCATAGGAATGACAGAAATAAACGTAGAATTTGAATAAGGGCAGAGATGAGAGCTCTTCGGCAGGTCTAGCGACAATCTGCACGCAGAAATTCGTATCAATGGTAGATTTTCGTGAACGGGTACGGTATAGGTCGAGGAGCAACCAGCTCCATCGGCATTGAATCGGCGCTACCATACTACTTCGCCCATCCTCCTCTTCTTCAGAATCCGATCACCATGATATTTAGACATGTTCTGTAAAAGTGATATAGGGCATATACATAAATTCTTTTAAGAGGCTAATGTAGCGCAACAGTTAGAGGTGCCCTGCAATACACACTGATTGGATCATGCACCCCAGACTCATCAAGTCCCTCCTTGGCCTGCAAATTGATACCAGATCTTTCTAGGAGGATAAAAATACTAAGCCACCACAAGTCATTGTACAGGCCAGATATGAATTCAATCAGTTCTACGATGTTTTATGAAGTCGAAATGGCGCATGCCACAGGAATTGATCAACACCAAGCGCTTTATCTTCTATCCTTTATACACGAGTTTTTTCAGATATTAACGACTTCACAATTGAGAAAATTTTCAAAGTAAAAGTTAGTCAAAGTGAAGGTGCCAAGAGTAAATGCTCACCAGAGTTACCGTTCATTGAAGCCAACAAGAAAATGCTAAAGCTGACAGCAAAGTACGAGTGCAAGCAAAAAGTGAACATTGAAAACTGCAGATAAGTGAAAATCTACCTCTATGCAAAGTACGATAAGTTTCTGATTGCAGCTCACAAGCTGCGCATCCGAGATCAAACCACCTGGAATCCGTAAATCACCAGCCATTGCAGACAAAGAAGCTGAACAACAGGAATATGTTGTAGCAGCACAATAACTTTTTTGCCTAAGTTACCGTCGTTTTTCCGCCATCCGTCGCAGTATTCGCCTGCTCGTACTCCGCCGCTCTTCGTTCCGTGCCACACACGCTTATCCGACCTAAATACAATACATACGTGTTTATGTATATATATATATATATATATATATATATATGTACAAACGTATCCATAATGCTTTATATATATATATATATATATAAGCGTGCCATAGTGTTAGTAATGCTGAGAAAACACAAGCATGGTGTTGGTTCGGTCTCGCACAGTGAACACCAAGCTTAACATTCACAATGAGTAGAGAAATTGGCAGTAGACTTGGTTGAGAAGAATTCACTTTCTATAATCCAAGTAAGAGTGCTCCAGCCCACCTATCCTAGGACTCTAGGAAGAATTGACTCGAAACTTCAACGACATTCAAGACAAAAAGAAAATCTTGAAGCAACAGCCGAACCCAGAGTCAAAAGTTGGAAGACCTTCGTGGATGACATATGCGAAGAGACCAATCGAACGCGAGAAGTGCTACGACCCGTGCAGTAGATGCGGAAAATGGGTCGTGCAAAATGAAATAAAAGCAGTGTACAAGCAGAAATAATATTTGTTTTTAAGATCTTGTAAAGTATTACGGAATTCGTAAATCAAAAAGAGTATGGAGTTGCTATCTGGGATTCAGAACTTTTTGCGCGCCGAATATAGCGCTGGCATGATAGTTTACCTGATGGGAATCACTGAGATAGAATGGTATGTCTCTTGTGCGTCATATCTGCTCAGCTTTCAATGATCGAGATTTTCACTCCCAATGGTCAACCTCCTCTGTAAACTTCAATGGCCTTTGAAATTTCTTCGGTTCTTTTGTTCTTTTGTTCAATGTACTGTGACCGATATTTCGTACGGTGTCAAATCTTCATCGCAGAACAACTTTGTGCAAAAACAATCGCCATTCGTCATTAGCTTAAACTTTGCATACTCCTTAAGGCTTCTCGTGGCTACCTAATCGGTTCCTAATTTACGACTCATACACTGTGAAATCAATTCACGTCATGCCATCAGCAACCCAAGTATATGAATCACATACGCCTCCTTTATTAGCAATAGTCTCTGTGCCACCGGCTATCTGCAGATGCGAAGTGCAATAATCGTGGCGGGACGCCGACCCTCTCGATGTATGATGCCTTGTCTATGTGTGCGCTGGTCACCAGCAATAGCCCCTGTGGTTCAACAAACGAACTCGATTAGGAGATAGATTTTGTAGATTTTGTATAATATATTACTCAGTATACGGAACAGCTTTGCTGATGCAACTTTTGCTACAGTAATCTATGTTAACCTTTTATTTGCTGCCTACTATAACTTAAACGGCAGGATATGATGTGAGACACAACCACAATGATGTTGAGATATTCGCAAAACTTGGACGGCAAGCCACATCGAAGCACGATTACCCTTCTCGGGGCTAGCGCGTTACACTGAAGCCCTTATTTTGCTTTCCTCTCAGATAGTTTTCTACCTAATTGATCTGGGGAGCACAAATCAGCATTGTACCTAGTTAAGCTGAGGTTGTAGTCGAAATCACAAGGTTAATCTTTTATTTGTTGCCTCCTATGATTTTCACGGCGGAGTATGATGTGAATGAAACAACAATGACGGGTGATTGCTGATGGCAGCATTAGGCAGAAAACTAGCTGAGAGAAAGACAAAGCAAGGGCCTCAGTGGTACACTGTGTAATGCGCGAGCCTCCGGAAAAAATAATCGTGAAAAATAAAAAATAATAACCACGGTTCAATCTGGCTTGAGGTCCACGTTTTGCAAATATCTCAGCATCATTTTGGTTGTATCTCACGGTTATCTATGTTGGACACGCTGAACTTCTGTGCTGCAACATAAGTGCCCGGAAGAAAATAATGGATACGAATTCAAGTCGGCCTATCTCCCATGACTATTTATGATTGGATATTAACTCACGTTAGTCTCTAACTGTTAAACTATTTCGAAGTAAACTCTTCAACGCCAATATGTAATAAATCGCATGAAATTCAGTACAGGAATTTGAGCGACCTTGATATGGGTTTTCAAAGTCGGAAGTTAAGCAAAATGATAGGAATATTAACTTTGCATACACTTGCTTGCTTGAACTATGTTTCACAACGAAAACCTCCAAAAATGTGCTCGACGGATTGAACAAAAAGCATCGAGATTTACAGAGGCATCTGTTGTTCAACAAAATCGCTCTGCTAATGACTCTAACTTGTTTTAGGTGACGTCATTGATGTTGTTTGGGTCGAAATGGAATCCTAAAACACATCTCAAGTCAAAACTGCACATGATTATGGCCCTTCATAGGCTTCCTGCGACCGTCTTCACTCACTTTACCACATACAACTTCTTGTAAAAAAGACTTCAAAGAATCAATCGACAACTCAGAATGATGAAAATCGTCTCGTGTACATCTCTTCTATGCCATCGCAAGAAGGAAAAGGATGAGAAGAATGAATGAAACCTTTTGAAGAAAATGCGTTAGTCCTACCGATTTTTATGTCAAGCATAGACTTTATGACAAATTACGCCAGCTAAAAGCTCATGAATAAAAATTGCGTCTATTTCCAATTCGAATAATTGTAGCCTTAATTCTTTTATTTACTGCCTTTTTCTTTTTAATGGCAGGGTATGTTGCGAAATATAACTCGTATATAATGCTGAGATATACTCCGGACCGCAGGTGTATGCGGTGGGGAACGAACGCGCGCTATTGTCCTTACCGGAGAGTAGCGCAATTCACCACCACACCATCCTGGTCCTTCGTTTTGCCTGTCTCTCAGGTAGTTCTATCCATCTTTTGCCATCAGCAATCACTCGTCAACGAGATTGATCTGGGCAGCCCAAATCGGCATTGAACCCGGATGGTGTGGTGGTGAAGTGCGCTACTCCCTGGTAAGGACAATAGCGCACGTTCGTTCCCCACCGCATACACCTGCGGTCCGGAGTTTTACAAATATCTCAGCAATATATACGAATTGTAGCCTTAGTTACGCAGTGAGATTTATATATCTATTCAGAATAGTAATATTTCAAAATGTTGGCACTTAACAAGATTTCGTTTATCCTTGAACAACCACAATGATGCTGAGATATTTGCAAAACTCCGGACCGCAGGTGTCTGCGGTGCAGAACGAACGTGCTATTACCCTTTCTGGGAGCTAACTAACGTTCCGAGTCCTTCGTTCCGCCTGTCTCTCAGCTAGTTCTGTCCATCAGCGCCATCAGCAATCACCCGTCAACGAAATTGATCTAGGGAGCTCAAGTTGAGAACCCGCATGGTGTGGTGGTAAGCGCGTTAGTGCTCGGCAAGGGTAATAGCACGTTCGTTTTCCATCGCAAATGCCTACGGTCCGGAGTTTTGCAAATATCTCAGTATCGTTGTAGTTGTTTCACACATACACGTAATACCCTGCCGTGAAAAATTATGATGGGCAGTAAATAAAAAAGTTAACATTGATTTATCCCTGAACAATCAATATGTATTCTTTCTTGATAAGCTTGTACGAGGTTGATAAATATATTTATTTTCGGCTAACGTTTCGACGTCTTCGTCTTCCTCAGAGCCGGTGATCCGAGTCGATGGTCCATGCTTGTTGTTCGCCTCGACGTTGCGTCTTCGCCTTCGTGTCGAGCCAGATCTTCCTCAGTGAGCCATCTTCTCGAATGAGGCATCCTCACTCAGTGATGCCCTTTTATACACGATGCTGATGGTGGATATATAATGACAATGTCCGGTGGTAACAACTTGTATTTCTTCCGGACATACATCATTGGGCACATCGTGCAGAGGTCGGTGTATTATCAGCTAGCACAAAGCGTAGTAATATTTCGAAACATATTACATATTACTTTATTACAAGAATACATATTGATTAGTCACACCGAGGTTTAGGGAAGGTCGGTTTCGAAATATCCCTGAACAATTTGCATCAGTACAAATTTATAACTGAAAAAAAATTGAGGTCATTGATACAGATTTTTCACATGAACGAAACTTTGAGTGATCACTTGGATCTATTATCTATTTGAATGCTTGGACTTAAGCTTTAGAATTCGAGCACTAAAGCAATGTTTTTTCTTTGAGGTCCAATTCTGACGGCTACCGTAATAACATAAATAATGCCTAACAAGGCTGTGAGAAAAGAAATGAATAGAAGATGTTCTAGAAGTCAAACAACAAATGAACAAGACGAATTAAGCAGCAGTGATAAGCAATAACCAAAATTATATCACTCACCAGTTATCGTCAACAAGAACATCTCGTTTATTGAAAGAGTACAAAGGTCGAGTACTACGCTGGCCGTCGTTTAGCACCGCACGCCAACTGGCGAACAAACGCTCACCACGAAGGTTGACCACTGGTGTGTCCCAGTCGACATTATGTACGATTCGAAGCATGTCCTATAAGGATTCGAGAACCTTATAACATAAAGGAATCAACTGGGACCATCAACATTGCCTCGGTCAAGGAATTACAACAGATCAAATGAACCCGTATGTCACATTGAGTACCCCAACTACGATGGAAAAAATGCCCAGCGATTGATTGATGATGAGAGCATAAAGAAGTAAAACCGTTTAGCGCCAATTAATCCCCTAAGGGTCCATTCACCTTACATCACCATTGAGCATGTTAGAGGTGACTGTAGGTGCATTTGGTCTATAAAATCATTTGCGCAGGTTCGCCGGTGTTCATATTCTTTCATACTGAATTGAATTCTAATTGGCGTTCCTGGAAGGAAGGAATCTTGGTTAGACCTGAGTGCAGGATCGAGCCAAAGACCTAGTGAATAGCAAGAGTATATCACAATGGTTAAAGGTATCGTGCAGCACATACATGGTCATTAGTTCAGTGCTGTACAACCGGCCAAACCAAGCCCAACATCGCTCCGGAATTAGCGCGATCATAGCAGACTTGTCTGGCCGGATGAAAACGACTACATCATACATCGGCAAACTGTCATAAGCGACTGTGTAGGGCAAATATGACCTCAAAAGTCTTTAACATGCTTAACATATTCGCGACGACGCCTAGTTGTGGCCGGTTCATGGAACTGCACCCAATTTTCGGCTGTTATAAAATTGAGGACCTTTTGATAATAGGTGATATTTTTTCACAACTAGAGGACTTGAGGGGATGTGAACACCTAGCATTTGGAAAGTGTTGCGGCTTACGTTGAATCTATTCCTGTATTCTTCATACCCGTCCATTCCACAACACAACTACGTTTCATTACAGCGATTAGAATCGGAATAACAGTCAAATGCATGTCAAATTACTGGCCAGTGAAGTTGTTAAAGAAAAGGTGATTGTATATTTCCATGTGTAGGACAGAGCCATTACCGGTCTAAGCCCGCCACAAAGATATTGTGTAGTTGGACGATTTTAAGATGTAGTTGGACGAGCTATTGATTGATTTTGAAGAAAATGTAGGAAAAAGTTTTTTTGCGTCAAAATAAGCTATCAAAAACAAAATGACTCTACAGCGGCTATGCCAGCCACAAAGTCTTATAACAAATGACACCTACAAAGGTCACATCATCGCGAATGTCTTAATGGAGACCTTTGGTTGCTATACTACTAATAGTTGATCGACGCCAAAGCCTTGATCTTTTACTTTGTTTAAGTAGATGTAGCATAGTGCCAAAAAGTGTGCGCCTTGTTCTTTATCATTCTACGTGAACACGGTTACTGGGACTGATTACGTCGCCAATAGCCAATATACACCCTACCTGGACGTTACTAGAAAGCATCGCTCGAAATGTTGTTGTGAAACCGTTCATTCGAGCTTCACGATAGCACTGAAGATCAGCTCCTCGCATTCCATGCATATTGCCGTCGTACGGGGTGTTGAGGGCAATCATATGAATCTAAAGAATATAAATGAAAGACATTGCTGAACAAACGTTCATAACTCAAAACTCTAGCATGAACATGGCAACTGGAAACACCGAAAACACTGAGGAAGGGAAGCGATTTCCTGGAGTGTGAAATTTCAGTTACTACACAACATCGGAATGTAAGGCTATTTTAGCTATAAAGAAGTCTGACGTTTCCATCGTGAATCTCGTCTAACACTAAAGCAATGCAGTTCCAAAAGAAATTTAGTCGTATTATGAATGACACTAGGACTCATAAAGGTTAAAGACTACCAAACTTGAATTGTTGTAAAGTTTTAGCGAAGCCATTCCAGAATTCCAAGGCAAAAAGTATTGATCAAGCAGAAGAGAATAAACCAGATAGAAAATATTCTGCGAATACCTAACTTTTTGTGAAGAAGGGTTCATCAAGAAAATAACTAAAGCAAGAACAATAGACAAGTAGAATATGATCAATGCCCACCGTTCTCTCCCTCTCAAAAGCTGAGAGGTATTCCGGTGGCGGTTTCGGATGAAACAGTGGCAGTGGCCTCGGTGTATCCTTTACATATGCTGGAGCTGAAACTGTCAGCGACTCGTCCTTGTTATGAAGAATCGGCGAAGCTTCCCGACGAGATGACGACGATGGTCGACGTTCAGGTCTGGCTTCAGGGTGAGCCGTTTCCTTAACGATACAATCAATGAAGGTATATGCAGATTTCCAGCTATCGGTATCTCAGTGGGTAGCAACTATACTCGAAAAACACATCACAGCGATTGAACGTGGAGACGATACGATATCAGCACTAGGTAGTAGCGATATTCACGAAGTGTCATCACATGAGAAGATTTACCAACCACTTTAGTTTTTCTTTTAACATTTCGGTGGATTCTTAAGGCAAAATGTTACAAGCCCATTCCAAATTTCAGTTTCTTTTATATCTTCTTGAGAAGCCACACTAAAAACACACTTCTGAAAGGAGTCCAACGAAGAGTTAGCAGAAACGTAGAGTGTTTCAAGAATAATTTCTGGTTGAGACAAGCGTCGAAAATTCTTTGGACTCTGCACTCTCTATACACCTCTCATCTTTCTTCCTAACGTTTCTGTAGAAATATATCTACAGTTTGTTGATATATTGACAATCATTATTTGATATGCATCCCCCAACAAAAGAAAACAATCCGATGGTGATTTCAGTCTACAACAAACGTCATGAATACCGCTACAAGAACGTCACAACCAGTGGATATGTATGATGGCAAAGGGACAAAAACGCTAGGTAAGGATGGACAGCTGCAGCTGCGCAACTGCCCCTAGCCGAGTCATCACGAAACACCACATTCGCCCCAGTTTTTCAATCATTAGCTAAAAGTGCGTGCAGGAAGCCAAAAAGACAAACTGACACGCTTGCGCATACCGTACATCAGCTTAGCTGGATCACGTGGAGTTTATTTGATCCTCTATATATAATCACAATCTTAACCCTTTTATTTGCTGCCTTTTTCTTTTTAATGGCAGGGTATGTTGCGAAATATAAGTCGTATATAATGCTGAGATATACTCCGGACCGCAGGTGTATGCGGTGGGGAACGAACGCGCGCTATTGTCCTTGCCAGGGAGTAGCGCACTTCATCATCACACCATCCGGGTTCAATGCCAATTGGGGTGCCCAGATCAATCCCGTTGACGAGTGTTGCTGATGGAAAAAAATCGATAGAACTAGCTGACAGGCAAAACGAAGCACCCGGATGGTGTGGTGGTGAAGTACGCTGCTCCCCGGTAAGGACAACAGCGCGTGCTCGTTCCCCACCACATACACCTGCGGTCCGGAGTTTTTCAAATATCTCACCTCTATATATATATAAACACAACTGACTGTCCACATCGATGAAAACCCAAACAAAAAGTCACCTTTAGAAAAACTAACATCTGCTGACTCATGGAGAAAGGGCATAATGGGAAATTTCGTTTACTAAATCTTTTCAAACAGTCGGCGCAATTTTTTGTGGATAGAAACTGTAGTGTACTAAAGAGAGTTATTCATAGTCTACTCCATAACTCACTGTCATTGTATTATATCCAAATGACAATCTTCATAAGAGTCAACCTTCGGTTAGAAATGTGTTACTGTCACACAGAATTGTTTAGGAGCGGTGACGCAAACTATTTCCGTGATATATCGCTTCATCGCGGGTGGGATGTACCACTACGGTCGTTCTATTGTTAGTTGGAAGAAATAATCCGCAATGAAATGTCGGTTTGAAGAATTGCCGTCAGGACATGGGCGATTGTAATACCTCGTTACAAGCCGTGTGAACAAAGATAGGACTACCAGATAGCCTACATCCCTATACAAAATCAATAGCGGAGCAGTTCTATACCAATCCTTTCCCTTCCACTATCCCCATCTCGGATCCCGAAATCCTTGAAGAATGGCCGCCCTGTATTCTTTTTTCTGAAATTCGAGTTGTGATAGAAGGCATAATAAACACACAACCCAACTGACAGCTCAACTTCAAGAAGAAAACATCCAAAACGAATGTAGGAGCATGGTCGGTTTACCCAACCTTGGTTAGTAAAGAGATCTCCGAAACTGTCGTCCAACATGTTTTTCAGGTTCATTCTTCAAGCTGTTCACCATGATTGTCTTATTTGTTGTGTTTGCCTTGCATATCAGTTTGAGTTTGAGTTTGAGTGCATGTAGCGCAGTGGTCGGATGCGCCTGCAACACACCTGGGATCGATTAGGGCGCCCAGGCCCACCAAGCCTCCTATCTCTCTGAGGCCAACAAACTGGCGTCAGACTTGCCTGAGAGGATAGCAGCACGATACGTCGCTAGCCTATGGGTAGTCATTGTAAAAACCAGATATGCATTTATTCCTCCGATGATGCTTAATGAAGTCGAATGCATGGCGCATTCCTCAGCGATTGGTCAACGCCGAGAGCTTTTTTTTTTAACAAGTGTTTTAGATGAAGCGCAACCAATTAAGCGAGTAGTATTATGAAAAGAAATCTGTAGCTTATAAAACTATCTAACTTAGACCGGTTCATAGAAGTCTGTCGGAGTTTTCTCCGCTTCTTGTCGACACCGAAAAAGCGTTTGACAGCGCGAAAAATGGATGCAATCCATTACGCACTTGCCCACAAAGAAGCAAACTTCGTCCTATGTAAGAATTCTAGCTGATTTTCTTGTTATTGCATTACGATCGTAAACTTTTTTTCATCGATGGCTTATAATTTCCACGGGAAGAGGGACTCGACAAGACAACACCTCGCCAGGGCTGTTCACAGCCGCATTGGAATAAAAAAGTCACTGGAGTGGAATGCAAAGCACATGCACATTAAAATCTATGCTGAATTTCCATTTCACTGAACAAACCATCATCCTTCAAGGGCGTACTATTGACGTAGACGTAATGCTTAACAATTTGCAGTAAAAGAGTGATAAAACTCTCTGCATTGATCAATACCTGAGGGATGGACCAGGCATTCAACTTCATTGAGCATCGCTGAAAGTGAGTGAATGCATATATGCTTTTAAAATGACTCGCGGTGGTCTATTGATGTATCTTTTCTATGCTTTTGTCATCTCAGAGGTACCGATTTGCCGATTCCAGAAGGATGGAAGTCTTGGTGAGCATGGGACGCGTTGTCAATCCCATTTATATTGGAGGGCGCCTCTACCTATTACGTTACATGAGCCGCTAAAGCATTTTCAATAAACAGGTAAAAAGAATTGGACTGCGAATAAATCGCAATAAATTCTAGTCAATGAAAAATGCATGGTGTGAAGGCAGATAAATCGAGCTGTTCTCCCATTAGGCTGACCACCTCATAAGTGCACATTGACCGTTCAGTGAACAACGAAAACAATATGAAGGAAGAATTAGAAAGAAGGAGAGCATCATAAGCCATGTTCAGGGTTCTCGAAGAACCCACCGACCAACTAGAAAGCTGAAAATCCGTGCCCACCTTTTCTACTTAATAGTACGCCCAGCACTCAGCTATGCATCAGAGACGTGTGCTAATAGTTCAAATACGTCAAGAATTCTGCACATCAACAGCAGAGTGAGGGCTTCAACGATGCCACCCAAAATATGGCGAGAACAGGCAGCACCTAGGCAAAATGCCAAAATCAGATCTTCGAATACGTATTTCATTCCATGTTCTAGACTCAGGCGATTATAAATCGACGGCGAGATACCGATTATCTAGGAGAAGAGCTGCTGACAGATGGACCAAGAAATCTGTAGAGTTGGCTCTAAAAGACGCAAGAGTTTCCTTGAAAAATAACCTATGCGATAGGCCGACGCGATTGTGTCTCATGTAAAATAGCTGCAATTGAAAGATCACAGAGTAAGCGTTGCCGATGTCATCGTGTTAGAATCGCATCACCAATATAAAGGACAATTATGAGAGAAAGATACCAAAACTATGGGCATAGGGCCAGCACTACTCACGAATACGGGTTATTTAAATGATACAAAATATAGTTATTGGCTAAGATTCGGAAACTAACATAGCAGGTAAAGCACAGTTGTGCCGTTAAAGTTAGGCAACCTATAGTACTTCAGATTTTTTCATGAAAATCGGGTAGTAAGTGGTAATAAATAACCTATAGCTACGAGCAGTGCTCTAACAATGGTTCTCAGTTCAACACTGATAACAAGAACATGCAGTGGTGCCCAATGATAGGTAAGAATGAAATAAGTCACTCCTTACCCAAAAGGTCTCTTTCGGATGAAGAGGAATAATGAATGGCCAGAGGGCTCCTTAGTAGATTTATAAAACTCAGCACTAGCAATCGGACAAGCTCTAGTCATGCCATCTAAGATGGTGGAAAAACACTATGAGAAACTACGTAATCGTTTTTTTATCTACTGCCAATTCTTTTTTCATGGTAAGGTATGATTGGAAATATAACAACAGTGGTGCTGAGATATTTGCAAAACTCCGGACCGCAGGTGTCTACGGTCCGGAGTTTTGCTAATATCTCAGCATCATTGTGACTATCGCACACTGTTCACAAAAAAATGGATGGGTACGGTATGCGCGTTCATTCCCGCGTCTATCCATTGGAAATCGTGGAATCTCACTATTACCGTAATCGATCGTCGAACGCACGGTCGATGTCGCCCCATGATGTCTCGGTTCCGCTAAGAACAACAAGATATTCGATTGCGATAATGTTAATGTTTTCTGTGAAAATGGATGATTGCAGTGGTGTCTTGGACGACTGCTCACATCTACATATATAAATGGGTTCACAACATTGTTACAAAGCGTGTGTGTGTATGGAGAGATCCACTGCACCGATTGGAAAAGAGATTCGCCATGAGTAGATTGCGGAGAAAACTCTTTAAACTGTGCCATTTCTAAATTTATCAAACAAATCTCTGGAATTTACACTTTATTTCAGCACATGCGGTTACGAACGCGTCGGATGGACGCTTCCGTTAGCAAGACCGTGGTGTTCCAATGGTGAATCTTATCCCCATGGATGCACTGGAACCGTCTCGTCCAAAAACATTTCTATTTTGATATGTGACGTGCCCGACTATGCACAACATTTGCTCTTACCCAATATTCCAGATGACCTGATTGCATTTCAGGATCAGAAACTATCGGCTAAAATGGCAAACATGATCCGGAAGCACCTTGATGTGCTTTAACAAGTAGAGGTGCTTTAGAAATGATTCTAAATCGGTGGCAAAATTTCAGCTTTAAATATTCAGTAGAATAACTTCATTCAGTAATTTCGCTGTTGAAAAAAGTATATAAAAGTAAATGGTGAACGATTGAATAAGAAGCAAAAGAACACGAACTCATTCACCTGTGATTGACGCTGCTCGATAACCGGGTGATAAGCTCCAAGCTAAAACTGCATTTATTGTGCTCTGTTTAAATCTACGAATTCTGTAACGCAAGGACATATACCCACCATGACCTCTTTCCATCCATTGTTCACTTTGATGTAAAGCTGTTGTGTAGCCGTGGCGAATGCCAACGTCCCAATGTGGGCACGTGATGAAAACAGCTCGTGGGTGCTAGGGTATACTCTCACAGCGGCTGAAAGTGTCAAAAAATTAGGCATTTTCTCACGAAACGATCAGACAGAAACTGTTCAAAAGATTATTTTCCCGGTACTGTCTTATCAACGTTGAAATTTAACGAGATCATGGCACTGAAAATAACATGAAAGGGACAAGAGGAGTATAGGAAGCCCACTGTTCACAATGTCATCATTAGTAGTGATAGAAATGGTTCACGAATACCATGTTGGATAAAGGTGAAATGGATGATTGTGGTCAAAAGAAAGGAGAAAATTCGTATAACACGGCTTCAAGAACGCACAGAAATACCGCTAAAGAACATCAAACAGGTCACAGTAGGATAAATAATGTGCAAGAAAATTCAAGGCTAACCGTGTTGGCAGGCATGACTCTCCCTGACGGTGCGCACTCGTTATTAGATAGGGAACAAGTTTCTCACCATCTGAACCCATTTCTAAGGTAACCTTGCATGTAGTTTACATGAACTTCAACATAGACTTCGAAAAGAGATAGAGATGAAACGCAAAATAGGTGCGAACAACACCAAGTGGCGGCCCAACCAATAGCACCATCTCCTCAGCCGTTCTTTAGACAACGAGAGCCCAATAATGAAGTTGATGTTAAATTTCGGATGCTTACAAGTGAAAGTCTTTAATCACTATCGCGCGAAAAGATACAGCTCAAACCTTACTAAAGTGCCAAAACGTGGGTGATATGGGTGGAGAGTTTGTCGTAATTCCACATCAGTTAAGTGTTGAGATAACGAAGAAGCATCTTGAAGATGCTTCACTTTATCGCTCATCATCTGAGAAGGAGTTTAAAAGTAAATACCGAAAATCGAACCACGAATGGGTCAAAATGGCAAGGGCTGCTGGTTTAAAACCATCAGTTATCTCTCAACTAAAAGTTGACCTACCAATATGCCTCGTCTTGTACTTGCTTATAAAAACATAAGTTAAAGTATCCAGCGATGATCATGCGTCTACCGATCGATCAATCATTGTTTAAGGTTAGACCTATCAATAACTGCGTAGACGGGCCAACGGAGAGGGCAACGTGGTTTTTAACCCTAATATTCACCCAGTTGTTGAGACACATTCCAGCCCATCTTACGAATACCCAGATATTTCTGAATCGCCTACGTACTGCGCAGTCCAGCAGCGCGTACGTGATGGAGTCCCTCGACGTTAGCGACCTTTATACAAACGTGTCGAATGACTCCGCAATGCAAGCCATATTCGAACTCGTTATACAACAAGAAGGAGAAATAAACATGTATGGATTCAAGATAGAGCAGTTGATGGCACTGTTAAAAAAAATGCTTGAGCTGCTTAATCATCAGATGGTTCGGAAAGTACTACGCTCAAATAAGAAGGTTGGCAACGGGACAACGACTGGCACCAAGTCTTGCCTTTGCGTTTATGTCTAAGGTGGAAGCACCAATGCAGAGGCACCGATCTCGGGCCGTTACTCTACTGCATATATATATGACTGTTTTGTCCTTTGCTTAACACAAAAGGAAATGGACAAATGTTTCGAGTTGTTGAACGAACAGTCAGAGCATATCAAGTTCACCCGAGAGGAGCCGAAAGATAAATGGCTTCCACTCCTGAACGTCCAAATGAACCTCTCAGAAAATAGCAAGATTACGAAGCGGTACCGAAAGCCAAATAGTAAAAAGATCTTAGCTCACCACCTCTCCTCTTACCCCTCTCACACGAAAATGGTGCTTGTAAGAAACATGTTTCGAACAGCAACCAACGTGTGCACGGGAAGAGAGCAGAGAGAGGAGTCCCGGAACTTGGCGCGGCAAATAGCCATTTCTAATGGCTACGAAACTGTAGCTCTGGATAGGTGTAGGAAAAATCCTAGGCCTCCAAACGACAACTCTAGCGATAGAAAGGTCCTGTTTATCCCACCCTTCATCTCAAATGATGCAACTGCAGCTATAAAACGTTGCTTAAGAAGGGCGAACCTAGAGAATTCGGTAAACGTAGTTGAAATGCCACTGAATACTCTTAGGCGCCAGCTAGTTCGTAACCACCTATATGACCGTCTAAGTGCAACGCAAAATTGCATGAGTTGCCCTAATCGTGGAGACGGTGACTGCGCGAGCTCGGGCACAGTTTATCTGATCACCTGTAAGGCGTGCAGAGACGAATATATTGGCGGAACAGGTAGAGCACTCTGTATCCGAATGAAAGGACACCTAGTCGGTAAACGTAAACCAAATACCCCACTAGGCACGCATAGGACCCAGAGACATAACGGGGAGGACTTTGAATCACGTGTCACGATCCTCGCACAGGAATCGATTACACAAGCATGCAAAACTCTCGAGGCGTTCTGGATTATTTCCGGAAATCCGAAAATGAACCGCAGGAAAGAATGCCTCATTATCACGCGTGATATTGGGCAGTATATAAGCATGTTATTCTGATGGGAGGGGCACATTACGCTTCCATATGAATTCTGTGGGGTTGGTCTCCACGTGACATACTCAGTGGACTTAAACTCGAAATAAAGTGCTCCGGCAAAACGTCACTCAGACAATTTGGTACCAATTTGCCGACTCCGGAAAGATGGAAGGCTTGGTGGGCCATGGGCGTGGGGATCGATTCCAAGTGTGTGTCGCAGTGGCTCATCCAACCACTGCGCCGCACTTGCTCTTACTCAGATTCAGATGCAGATATATTTGTATATATGTATATATATATATACATATACATACGCATATATATATATATACATGTACGGTGCTTTCCTCCAACAAACAGTGAAGAAGAAAACATCCCATTCTCATTTATCATGCGGACGGAACTATGAAATTGATCTCACGTCTAATAACGCTCTATATTGGTCTTCAAGAGTTTAGCGTTAGCGAATTTTCGCTGATGAGAAGTTGTAAGCTTTGAGCAAATCGCTACTTTCGTTTTTCTTTTTCCAGACAAACGCTACTAATAGATGCATTATGCATTTTTTTACGACATGTAAGAAGTTAACGGTGTTAAAAAAAATCACAACGATTGAACCTGCATTGAGGTCCTCAATTTCGTAAAAAGTCTGCACATTTTCTAAACATGACATTTCCTTTTGGTTTAAAATAATAAAATCGAATAACGAATAGAACTACTTGAACTCACAACCAGTGCCTTCACTTATTTGGTGGCTAGGTCTCGAATGATCGGGTGGTCCTGGTGGTCCTGGTGGTCCTGGTGGTCCTGGCGGGCCTGGCATGCCACGATCACCCTTAAAAGAGACGATATTCGGTTGCGTCATTAAAGAAAAGAATTTTAAGAGTGCGTTCAATGCCTATTTGCGCTCCGCAGATCACTCCCGTTGACGAGTGATTGCTGATGGCACGGACAGAGTAAGAAAAACTAGCCGAGGGAAAAGCACAGCAAGGGCGTCGGTTATTGTGGTAAATAGCACGTGAGCCTCGATAATGGTAATCGAGCGTCTGAAGCCAACCTGAAGACCCGAGTATTGCTCATATCCCGACATTCTTGTGGTTGAATTTGAGAGTGTCCAGGAAGAAAACAAAGAGCAAATGTTGCAAAGTATTACTTCACTTGTCATCGTTGGTAATTGATAGAAAGATATTACTTAACATAAAGAACGTAGCTAGTACATCCTTAGTGCTTTATCATATCTAAAAAATGTCATGGTGATCAAAATGTGATGAAGTTTCTCGAATACGCATGGACTATTTCCACGGAGGTGACCCCTGTAAGGAAATCACCTAATTTAGGCCGATCCAAAGTCCTTCAGGTTAGTGCAGTTATGAAAGCAGTAGATTTAGATTTTTTCATTCAATGACTTAAAGTGCGAAAAGCGTTAAGCATTGTTTTCTCCAACCCTATCTATCGCGGTACATTTTGTAGTGTAGGCATATCACGCACGTTACAAGCAGTATGTGGATGCTACTTACTGATGAGGAAATTATTGTAGGAGAGAATGGGTGCACCGCGATCGAGATTCTACAGAGTTGATTACAGTCGCGTTTCTGCAAATCCTACCTCGCGAGGTCTTTCTACCAGATCAACATGTCATTCTTGAGGCTCACGGTGGAAGTTAATCGTATTATGTCTTCTATTCGTCACCTCAATGTTCTATTTATCCACATTATTGAAGTGTTTCTAGCATTTGTCGCCACCGTAAAGTATTCATGAGGGTTTATTTATGTGATGGGAGTAACGTTTAAATTTAGCTATCAGTTCTTTCACGTTAAGTTTGTCCTTCTCATTTTAGTCTTGAAAACGCGACAGCCTTTTCAACACAGAGTTATGTGTACTTCTAGTATGAACCATAGGTTATCATAATGTTCAGTGATAAGTTTTCATAATTCAATCAGGGTAGTAGTACAGACACAAAGCAACCAGCGGTTTGGCATGGCATAGTAGGATTCTGGTTGATCTTTGTATGTGTCGTACCACTTTGAGATGCGAAACGAGATCACCTGGTCATATTTCATGGAAGCCGCCGCTGCTCGAGACAAGAGATTTTTGATTCTCTGGATGCAAAAGAATCATGCAAATCTGGATGCACAACGATAAAATCTCTCAGATGGGAATATGAATGCTGGATGGTTGCACGTAAATCAAAATTTGCTGATGAAATTCTTCCACAAACATGAGAAATATTTTAAATCCTTGCTAAAGATGTTGCACTTCTTGTTGACGTTTGACCGCAACCACCGAAGACGCAGGATATAGTGTGTAACGTTCTGAGTTCGTTGTACTGCTCGTTCTGTGTGGCGCTCCTTGCAGTGTTGAGACAGTTCGGGTGAAGGACCCTGGTCTGTTCACTTTAAAGAATAACTGCTTCAGCAGTTCATAGAGGTTCTCTGACACCTGGAAGACACTTTACACACAATCGAGCTTTCACACGCCACAAACCTCCCCAAAATATATCGTAGGGCTTGAAAAAATTCGTGACAAGACAGTAGGACCGCTTGCTCTCCATTGTAATGTGGTAAAGCTTCAAAGAAAAGTTGTCTTGAAAACAACAAAGTCAATCGTAGGCCGTACGAAAATGATGATTTACGTTTCATCTTGTAACAACGATGAAAAAAGTTCAAAGGCCATCGATGCTTCTGTTTCCAAAAACACTCGAGTTGTTATGCTGACATGGGATCGCACGAACACAGGGAGTCCCCAACATACGCGTGAGCTTGCAAACGGCTGCAGAGCAATGACACACAAAGACCTTAGAAAAAGAAGAGTATCAATATAAGATAAGGCTACAAAGGTTTGAAGGACACAAGAAAACCCACAAAACTCTTCCTTACTTCGTCAACGAGGCAAAGATGATCAATCTCCGACGAACTAGTGGATCACACATGAGATGAAAATGAGAACGGAGTCCCATAAACTAACTGTCAATGCGTAAGTCATTACCTATACATTAACTTGACTCTTCACAGATTAATTCTCAACCTGTGAAGTCCATTGTCAACACCAGTAAAAGAATGTTCTTCTATGAAAAAAAGATCTACAGGATATCGGTAACTATAAACCAAAACGCTTGCTGTCCATTGCACATTATTCGAGTGCATTCATCCTTTCGGAGGGGTACAAAGTGTCGAACGCTAACACAAGAAAACGAGTTGACAAGCTTCTGAAGAAAGTTCGATATATCAAATCACTGACACAGTTATACTCTTAATAAGGAGTATGAGATGTCTGTTCGCTTATTTTTCAACAACTTAGAATACTCATCCGACGTAGTCGATGCAGAAACAGCCATGGAAGCTTTGAATAATGACGCCACTGCTCAGTGAACAAAGAGCTTTCATAAGCCATATAGCAACCTCAAAATCAGAAATTAGCCGTTCTACAATAAAATTATTACCGGAACAAAAGTGTTCGACAGCGCAGGCCCATCTTGCAAAGTCTACTAAACAGCGATTGAAAACATCATTCAAGACCAGGAATAGGATATTATGGCAGTGAAAGACAATGTCTGGTAGCCGGAAGAAAGGCTTGGACTCGCCAGGAACCTTTAAAACGGTGTTAATGGGAAGCCAATTTGTTACTGATGCTAAGTCCCTAGTTTATGGAAGAATCATCCTCCAATCCTTCTCTTATGTATATCTGAGCCAGGAAGTAAATATTATACACAACCTAGTCCAAGATCTCAGTACGTGGGAACGATCGACTAGGATCTTATCAGAGTGAAGATATTGTGAGAAAGAAAAAAGGAACACCTGACATGCGTTTTCGAGTTCATGGTTTTTGTTATCTCAATGTGCTTCTCGGAAACAAGGAAATTTTTAGACAGCATGAAATGGTAGTTAGTGTTTATCAAACGCGGTATTGAAGGAGTGATGCCAATTAGCATTGCATTTATACAAGTGAGAGACGCAGTCAGAAATCTCGAGTTATGTAGATCACGAAAGATCAGAAATCTTCTTCTTACGTCAAGATGTCGAATGTCAGATGAAAAGAATACCTTATGAGTTAGAAAGACTACTGCAGGATGAGATTTGTTCACGAACGGATCTCACTGCAGAAAAGGTGCGGGATACCATCGACTGGATGAGAAGCCTTTTTCACGAAGATCATATAAAAAATACGATGCTCTTCAGGATCTTAGAGGAAGCAGAAACTGGTGGGTCAATTACCCCACTCGATAGGGATAAATGACGGTATTTCTAGCGCACGCTCAAGGAATTTGACAATGCACAGAAGAATAGATGGTAGAGGTATTAATGGAGTATAACTGATGCGGTAACTAGACAATGTCCTTACCTTTTCACCCTTTATGTTATACTGCGTTCTATGCCTATCCTGCGCTAGAAGCGCATTTTCGCTAACCGATGGTTGAAAGACGGTGGTTGTTGACTGAGCGCATTCGCCTTTTTGACCCTAAATTTGAAGTGAATTTATTCTTTCTTACTTGATTGGGCCAAAATACTTTAGTACACGAAATTATTTACCATTCTTAGCGTGTTGAAGAAAAACTGAGGACCGCAGTTACTGCTCAACGCTTTTCTGTCTCTATCACGAGAACAAAATAAAAGTGGAATTCACCTTGAGCATAGGGTGCCGAACAATTAGTTCGATGTCGCGGTCCGTAAGACCACGGAAATCACGTCCATCTCGTCCGGGATAACCAGTTTCACCTCGCGGACCTAAACGAACACCTTTTATTTTCCTAATCTGCACTCTCTTTGGGCATAAATACAACGTGCTGGAGCGCCTTCGCAATTTTAAGTAACGTTTATAAGTTATACAATTAATTTTGGACACAGAAGACCACCACAGTTCATAAACCTTTGTAACAGTGCTTCATGTAGTAGAAAACACGAGTATCGATTAGATCGCGTTGCCGATAAATAGTACCATGCATGGTAGTCGTGGCTCCGTTGAGTTTTCCAAAATGAACAGCGGTTTTAGACTCTGGGTCTCGTAAATAAAAAAAAACACATGGAATGTGCGCAGCAGCACAAAACAAATTCAGCATTGCAGTGACCCGTTGGCAACACATCGAGGTTGACACAGTGCTAACCACTCAACTGTTGTTCCCACTACTTTACATATCACTGCTTTCACCTTCACAACGAAATTGGGACTATAAGCTAGTGTGGTTAGCAATTCATTACAAAACGTGAATTAATGTGAGAGCGACTGAAAAAAATGGACAATGCATTCACCTCGTATTCCCTGAGGACCTGGTGGCCCTGGTGGTCCAGCCAAACCTGGCGGTCCAGGAATCGGTTGCAGCTCAGCACCACCATACATCGACTGGTGCACGTAGCCTGGTTCACCTGGCGGTCCAGGAGGGCCAGGTGGTCCTAAGATCGAGGAAAAAACTACATATTTCATATTTTTCAACCAAATATGTGGTAATGTCAAATGCTAAACGTATGCATGTACTACTCATTTTTCCGATGTTTTTCTAAATTTTTAGGCCATATAGTTAGCAAATCACGTAAAGCTGTGAAATACACTGGCAGAGAACTGTCCAAAACAAGATGGACTTGTTACAAAAATGTAATGGGATGAAATTCTGGAAAAAACACAAACATGTGCTTTTTCGTTTATTCGTTACTTGATAGGTATTAAAACTTGATTTCAATTACTCTTATACATTCAAGAAAACTGACCCTGGACACCTTGAGGACCTTGAGGACCAACGGGGCCACTCTGTCCCGGCATTCCATCACGACACTGTTGAAGGCACTGAAGACTAATATGCGTTCAAATGTTTACTTCTGCTTTTCACATTTATATCTCAGGATTTTTCTCTCAATCGAGATTTAATGAAATCAAAATCTAAGAATCGCAGATAGTCAGAGAGAGAGAGAGAGAGAGAGAGGGAGAGACAGAGAGAGAGAGAGAGAGAAGACATGTTCAAAAAAACTATGATTCTGTTTAAAAAATCAAATCATTTAGAATAGTGAAAAAACTTAACCACTCCAGGCGGTCCTGGCTCTCCTCTTTCTCCTTTGAGACCAGACTGAACATTTTCTGAAAGCAAACAAATTCACTTCGATAAACGACAGCAGAGTTGTGATAGACTCTAAGAGTCCTCTACGACACTCCTTCACTCCTTAAAATTTGGCAGAACTAACAAATAAATAAAAAATAGTAGGTAAATTGTTATAACGGTAGAGGTGCACATATATATATATATATATATATATATATATATATAGTATAATTATTTATATAATATAATTATTTAGGGCTAAATATATTTGGACGTGACAAAAACTGCGGAAGCAGACTCTCAAGCAATCAATAGATACGGGTCGATAATCGATCGACTACATGCACACACGGTCCACAAAACAGTGCTCTACATATCGTGCATTGTTGCTGTGACCTATAGAAATTGGCGGGCCATGTCGATGGAAAGGCAGTAGAAGGCTATCACCGAACGGATACAACAGATCACGTTCGCCGCGGTCTGAAACGCTCACTTCTTATCAGTCAATAATCGATAGCTGGAACGAGCGATCGATATGTTAATGTGCACGATAGTGGTTGAATAATCCACCCACACGGCACAGCAACCGCAATATTTAGATGTCAATGATAGGAATGATTTTTTGCTCCCGTAGCATAAAGACACCGACAACGCAAGTGTCGGAGCAGTGAGGCACTTTTTCACGACTTGGCCTTTTGTAAGCGATTACAATAATAAATTGTTCAAGTGTGGTTGCATACTGCGTCAAGATAAACTATTGCAAATCCTTCGTTCCTTTCGCCTTCCTACGAATGGAAAAAATGGCTGGGGATTGTGCCACATGCTGGAATCGTGGGCGGAAAAGTATTTTACAGTACTGTACAACTGACCGTTGAACTGTTTCTGCTCCAGATCGACGGGAAGCTGTGGTTTTGGAGTGGGTGAGAACACAACGTCACCACTCCTGCCTTCTTTATCTGAAATGAGGAAGCGTTGATGTCTTGGAATGTCACGACGACATTAACCAGTAAGGCATCTTTGGTTGCTTCCAACAACCTCGAATAAAATCAATCGTTAGCAAAGCAAAGCGAGCCGACCGATGAAGAAATCGACTTGATGTCAAGATGAAACGATACAGCTCACTAGTTGTAACAATAACGAATGAACAATGTCGTTCACTGTCGTCTGTCCTTTTAACATAACTGATATCGGTCCCATAATGATGGCTACCCTATGATTGGTTCCAGTGTTCTTTACACATTCGTAATATAAGGCGATCGGAATCGCTATTCTAGAAAGAGAAGAAGAAATTATGAAAGAGACAAATGAGCTCACTCACCTCCCTGATCCTTGAATTTTTCGAAGCCTGAGCCTTCGTCATCGGTCTGAAAATTATCAGTTCATCGGCGAAATACATTTATAACAGAGAGGGTTAGCCAGTGATACAACACAATAGCAGGAAAGCCACATTCGCTGAACGACGTCTGATCAAGATATCATTACAGATGCTTTCATTTACTCACCTGCTTGACTTTGTGTCGTGCTTTTAGTGTTTTCCGCTTTCGCCACTGAGACAGAAAAACATTCACATTCAATTATCAGTACTGATAAAGAAGAAGGGGAGGAAAAGAATTTGTCTTCCAAGGTAGAGTGCAAAAAGTGATGGTGGTGATCAATTCAATAGTTTTTATGCCTCTCGTCCACCATCGATGTTAACTTTCACGTTCACACTGGCGAACATTGAACGCTGAGCAACACAACAACAGAAATTGGCAGTTGAAGGCAGTGTACACCATAAATTGGTTTAGCTGGCTAACTGAAACTTTCTTCATTTTATTTTGTTTTATACGACTCGTTCTTCACGTCTACTGTGCAAATCCCAGAACTTCTCACAACCGATTCGTTTCCTCGCATCCATCATCCACGAAGACCTTCCAACTTTTGGGTGTGGGTTCGGCTGCTGCTTAAGGATTTTTTTTTCATCTTAGATGTTGTAGAATGCTGGTCGAGTCTATTCTCTCTAGAGTCCTGAGATACCCGAGCTAGAGCGTTCCCACTTGGACTGAAGAAAGGAATTTTTCCGGGACTAATTCGGTACTAATTTCGCGATCCAGGAGTGATGAGAAGCTTGGTGAGCGTGGAGCGGGCTCGAGCTAACAACTAACAAAAGGAACTAGAATAAAAGAACTAAGGAACTAAGGAAGGAGGCTCTTCTTACGATTTATGATACAGCAACGCTCCTTCATCCTTACATGTATCCATTTTGTAAATTACCAATCAATGATTAAAATTAATAGGCCATTTAAAGATTATTGCCCTTGTTCTTTTCTTGTAAGCAGGATGGAATTCTCCATACACGTGGAGAAATACCAAGCGAGAAAAAATTACCTCAGATTTGATTTATAACAGAAATCGATCGTTTCAGTGATTAATTCATGAATCTCATGAAGGGGGTGCGTTGTTGTGCAGGTCTTAGTGGAAAGAGAAAGAAAATTTATCAACTACACAACGGAAATATTCATAAGAAACTAAGGGATAAGTTGTATTTGAAATCAAGCAAATTCATTTCAACAGTTTCCTTGAAGTTTCCGAAGATAATTGGAAACGCTGGAATTTACTGGGAGAACAGTCCATGAAGTAGGACTTTTTAAATACCTCGGTTGTTTCTGTACACTGCCTTCCTTCTTTTTTTTACTCAATCGATGTGGATTTGTTAAGATGCGGAAAATGCTCTTTAGGGGAGGCTTAACATGTTTAATTCAAGCCTACCCATAGTTCATCGCATTGTTTTGCGGCTTCTGATGGATCGTCGATAATTTTTAACTCTTGCATAGCACCCTAAACAAAAAATAATAAAAATATTGCGCAATACCTCAAAAGGAACGACATCAATTGGTTCGAAGTTAGGAGGCGGTAGACTGTTGAAGTCGATGTTTTCGGTCAGCTGAGGATCCAACATCGCGTTATCTTCCTGCGGCACTGTGTACTGGAAGATCAATCCGCCAAATTCATTGTCGTCTTGTAGAAGACTGTTTGTGACTGGTGAGTAGTCCTCGGTATATGTCTCGAATTGCTGCTCATTTGTTGAGTCTTTCGTTAGCGGGTCATCATCATCGACCACATTTAATTCGGAAAAGTTTGAAGCGTTATAGAATTGAGCGCTCGTCATTTTGTCGATGTCGGAAGCATTTGAAGAACGAATGAGGCGTTCGTTGTTCAAAATCTGATTTATTGGTTCGGTATAGGAATTGGGAAGTACGAGAATAAATAGAACGATGCCGATGAACATTCTGTCTGAGTGCTTCATTCCATCACTCGTCGATTACTAAACGAATTAAGCAATGAGATCCAGAAACGCTCAATGAAAACACGAACACTAGTGAGGAGGAAATATCTACACGCTACTTATAATTGGATTATAATTGCTATGGGCCCGAACATCGAATGAAAATGGTATTAACATCAATTGGAAAGGCCAATAACGATAGCCGTTGCTACGGAAGCCTGTTCAGCCTATCAGCGTGACGATCGAAATATCACATTAATTGGCGTTCAATACTTGAGCAAAGCCGAACGCCTGCGATGTACAACACTTCTGACACAGCATCACAGAAATCCGTTATGAAGCCACCGGATCTCAGCTTTTCCTTCTGTGAAGCCCATAAACCCGCATTCAGCAAGACTTTGGAACTCCTCCTTTAAGCCGATGAAGTAGAATGGCCCGGGCTCAGGATAAGATTTCATTTTATATGACTATAATTGGCTTAACCCATTCGCGATAAGTTTTTGTGATTCTATGATAACTACAGAACTTAAAACCTAAAGAAGAAACTGATAGAGAAGAGTTAGGCAATGAATGTGAAAGTATAAGTTGGGCAATCAATGTCAAAGTATAAATGGGTTCTCTAGAGTGTTTTTTCTTATTCCAACATTCTGCATTAAGATATTGACGAATAATGAAATAACTTTCAAAAAATCTAAAATTGTTGACCATCAGCTGCACTTATTAGCGAAAGATTTCGAGCATAATCCCTTCCCGATGGACCGATGGACTTCAACCGTTCAAAATACTCGCAACGAGGAAAAAATAACGAAACAAAGGTTTATAGGCCCCAGAAAAACAATAAGCTGAGAACTTTATACAATAAAATAAGAAAAAAAGGCTTTCTGTTAACAAAAACTCTTAGGTTATGGTGGACTAGAGATTACTACTCGGACTGATAAGATTCACTGTGAACAGAGATTTGCTTGTTTCAAGTTGAAAAGTTTTTAAAAGCCACGTGATTTTCAGCCATCTGTGAGCTGAAATCAATACATATCGTCGACTTGTGGTAATGTTGAAATGTCTAATAAAAAATAGACTACCAAGACTAGCATTGTCTCTACCCGATCAATCGTAGTAGAAAGCATAGGTAGAAAAAAGCTGTTACGAAGCAGTAGAGGATTACAGTGCTGAGACCGCCATTCGCACGGACAATTTATAAGGTGGTCTTTCGTCAGAAATGTTTCTCATAAGATTTTCTTAAAGTGCAAATATTTCTAAAGATAACAGGATTGTTCTATACACCAAACAGAAGCTGAGTGGCTACACTGTTGGCTGGGATAGAAGACTTACTACCTCAGCCAAATCAGAGGCTTTTCGTAATTCTCCTCCCGCTTCCACGTGCTTCGGTAGTTTCGAAAGAAGAAACTTACTACCAAGGCCGAATGAAAAGCTTTTTGTGATTTTCCCTCTAGCTCGATGTACGTCTATTCTTTCGAAGGACTAGCTTTATTTTTCGCAGAAATGGTTGGTAAAGAAGCCTGACCAGTAGTAACTAAGTAATTGGTAGAAAACCTTTTCCTAATTTGTTTCGATCCTTAAACCATCAAGACGTAGGATGAAGTGCTTGGATTCATACAAAACATCTGTAGATTATATCAACGCGATGGTCAACAACCGGTATTTTTTTGCTGGATTTCAGTTCAAGTTCTAGAAAACTTTTCCAGTGCTTGTACCCTTGGAGCAGAATTTATAAATAGAACGTCCTCATGGAATTTATCGCTAGTTTGTGCTCCATTTTTTTTGACGCCACTTTTTAATCACGAACTACCTCTGTCCGTTCCTCAGTCGCTGGTGCTCTTCTATGAAAACATTATAAATGACAGCTGTGGCAAAGAAATGGCTAGCGTTTTCGAAGCGAGGCGGAACATTCTTGAATTGATAGAGAGGAAAAGGAGTGAAAACGAGAGAGAGAGAGAGAGAGAGAGAGAGAGAGAAGGAGACTGAGGGGGCTCTTGGAAATAGGCACGTTGTGTACGAATGTGAAATTTGCGCACTATAGACTAAACATTCTGCTTGAATAGCGTAAACTGAGGACCGTTAGAAAGTGTTATTATTAACCTGGATTTGGCAACTACTTCAGATGATTATATTGCAGTGTTGACAACTAGCGAATAAGGTAGACAAAGAACTCCAAGAAGAGCGCGATGTGCTTGATCTAAAAGTCACTCAACTTTCCTTTTCAAAGAACGGTTCAGAAGTCCGCTCTTGATGTTTTTGCACAGAAAGCTTTTCTGCTCAGCCTCTACAGATTCAGTAAACATCCAAGAGAACCGCTCTTGTGAAGCTCATTTTTTAAAAACCAAATGCTTAAATTTAAAGATATATCAGCCCACCAAATAACAAGGAATTGAGTGCTTTGAGGAAATTGTTTAAGACCTGGTAATTGCATAAGTACAAGGCAACATCAATCAGGTATTTCTTTATCATTAGAGGAACAAACTGGTGAGTCACTCGCCGCATCAACAACCTTTTCTGTTTCTGGTGTTTTGCTTTCCTTCCACATTTTGACAGTCAATGAAACTAAAAGTAAATCAACACGTGTCAAATTCAAAACCCTTGGAGAAGCCAACAATCAACAGACGGAGCTAGAACTGCGCGCCCATATTTTTTACTTAGTGGTCATTTCAGTGCTTTGATGACCAGCTATGTCAAGAATTCTGCACACCGCCCATCAAACGCCCTAGCGAGATTGTCTTCTGATAAACGAAAACACAACGTCGAATCGCATGGGATCTTCAAGCGATGTCCCATTTTGGAGATTCAGTGGAATACACATAGATGGCAAAACATAATCCGCCCGCTCGTCTAAGGACAGGGTCTAATGACACAAAACGGACCATAGGATGAATCGAAGGAGAATGTAAGACAACCTCTGGGATGACCATCCCAAAGATGCATGAACGGACGGCCCACGTAGATCAATGGTGCTCTCAGCTATAGGTGCTCTATAGAGGAATAATAAAAAGAACTCATAGTAAACCACCACCAAGGACTCGCGAGGAAAGTAATCGATTGGGAAATGTTTTAACACAAGCAATACTCGTGATACGAGGCCATTCAAACATGAAACTAAACAAAATCTTCAGCAATGAATCATAATACAGTGAGCCACATCTGTATGGCACACACGTGCCGTTAGCTTGTATACACATATATGCACTTCCACATTCATTTAATGTTGAAAAATAACACATAATTACCAATACCAATGAAAAATAGAAGAACGCCTAGATCAAGGACTACTGTAGCATGAACCAATCGCTTGTAGGAAATTTGAGGTGGATACAAACATTATCAGTTTTGTGTAAGGCTTCCTAGAAGTTATGAGAGAGAATAAGACCTAGCAGCAACCATCAATAATACGAAGGATTAAAGAGTTGGACAAGAAATGTTAACGACCGGAGTGAACTGGAGAGATAGAAAATTCTCTGCAGTGGCTCAAATATATGAACCTTAATCACATTTGTTTACTTCTATCTTCCACTTTCCATTGAGTAATTCAACGTCTTACCTTAGCAAATAGCTGTACCTGACTTCTGAACTGCGATGTACACCAATGGAGTTCATTTCCCTTACTTGTTCCCTCCAAAGTATGCGCCAGTTCGTCGTTACCATTCAAAAGCACAATTAAAAATAAAGAAATGCCAGAAATCATCATCGCCCTGGAGAACAACCATCGACCTCGCAAGGTGGCAAACCTCGTTCTTATCAAATAACGGCTTGCAAGTGTTTGGCGGAAAAGACATAGGAAAGGCGATTTTCTTGGGACCACGAGGAAAAATTTCGATCACACTGACAATAGAGCAGTTGGCCAGAAAATATGCTATATTTTGTCGTCGCGAAGTCGAATCATTCAGGTGTCAACTACTTGTCTATGTATTCTATAAATTCGCTTGTATTTCGACCAAATATAGAGTTAGATGCTGACTTTTTATTCACTGTCTTCTAAAAGTTTTCATGGCGGGATATTATTTGTGGAACAACTAAAATGATGCTGAGATATTTGCAAAAATCCGGACTGCAGGTGTCTGCGGTGGGAAACGGACGCGCTACTGTCCTTTTCCGGGGAGTAACGCGTTCACCGCCATACCATGCGGGTCCTTCGTTTCGTTTGTCGCTCAACTAGTGTAGAGTTAGAGGTTACCAATTGGAGCTAAAGTAGCTGTGATTACGCTCCCGTGACTACAGCGGTCTTCTAGTTTTGTTTTATTCAGAGACAAATTCAATGACGAAAGACGCAATTCCGCTAAATTAATTTGCTGTGTTAGTTCGATTGTTTAAAAATGTAACTAACAAGTGAAATATTTTATTCAGATCATCGAAAAACTGTTTAGCTGTGTTTCGAAACCGACTCCCTGAACCTCGGTGTGACTAATCAATATGTATTCTTTCTTGATAAGCTTGTACGAGGTTGATAAATATATTTATTTTCGGCTAACGTTTCGACGTCTTCGTCTTCCTCAGAGCCGATGATCCGAGTCGATGGTTCATGATTGTTGTTCGTCTCGACGTGGCAGCTTCGCCTTCGTGTCGAGGCAGACCNGTGTGACTAATCAATATGTATTCTTTCTTGATAAGCTTGTACGAGGTTGATAAATATATTTATTTTCGGCTAACGTTTCGACGTCTTCGTCTTCCTCAGAGCCGATGATCCGAGTCGATGGTCCATGATTGTTGTTCGTCTCGACGTTGCAGCTTCGCCTTCGTGTCTAGCCAGGTCTTCCTCAGTGATCCATCTTCTCGAATCGAGAAGTTGTTATCACTGGACATTATCATTATATCCACCATCAGCATCGTGTATAAAAGGGCATCACTGAGCAAGGATGCCTCATTCGAGGAGATGGCTCACTGAAGAAGGTCTGACTCGACACGAAGGCGAAGCTGCCACGTCGAGACGAACAACAATCATGAACCATCGACTCGGATCATCGGCTCTGAGGAAGACGAAGACGTCGAAACGTTAG